CCCCCTTCTATAAACTGTGTCTTATCTTGTAGACCCTTTCGGGACCAACACTTCCCTTGTGTCTATAACTACCTCTTCTCCTCAAGTGGCCACGACAAGGGAAAACCCCACCGCGTCTAGCCAAGCCACCAAAACCTCTTCTAAATGACCCTCTCAACCAACTCTTGGTTCTCCTTAGAGAGCCAAGAAAGCCAAAAAGGGGACAACCACGTCTCTAGATGGGGCCTCTCAAAAGGCTTCAGTTATTGAAACTCGCCTTACCCCTGAGGCATTTTCTATTCAACCCCCCAGCTCTTCAGTGATTTCTCCCATCACTGTCGTATCAGTGGTACCTTCACCAATCACTTCAGTGACCCAAATCACTGAAAGTGTAAATATYAGCGCCGCCACCACTGAACACCCACGTCTCTTCTCAACCGTTTTCTCTTCTCCTCCCTCCTTGGTATTTACACATGTCGATGATGTATCAGCGACTGTCCTTCCTGATACTGAGACGCGCACCACTGACCTGAGGCTGCTCCTCTCGATGCTCCTCAGCATACGGATGTCCATCCTCTCGAGGACATATTTGCTTTTGCCAGTGACAATCCTTTAGATGTCACTGAAGGCCCCTTAGGTATTCCATCTTCCTACCCTTTCTTTTCTTCTAACCTTGAGCCTTCATCTCACACTACTTCTTTTGCAGGTCCTTCTTTGATGCATAAGCCTGATGCTCAGGAAGTGGAAGAATAAGAAAGAGAGAAAGATGATGGAGGAGATGAAGAAATTGATAATGACTATGATATGTCATCTGATATCAAGCTTCTCCTTCCCGTCGTTGATACCGTCCTCTGCAGGATCAACGAAGTTCACCAAGAGATGCTCCGTCAAGGCAATCTTGATGCGAATTTCCTTGCCCTCCAGGCGGATGTTCAAGAAGTTCAGAGTCATCTCCTAATTCTTCAAGAAGCTATTCAAGCCAACAATGACGCCATTGTTGTTCTTCACAGCAGGGCTGACGATGCTTAGGCTATAGCTGATCAGCAGACTGGTCTTCTTCAACAAACACTGGATGTTGTCCGTCAACCAGCTCTAGTGATTGCACCCTCTTTCTCTGCCAATGATCGCGCTCAGTTCCATGAGACGCGTGAGGCAACGACAACTCTAGCCAATGCTTTGCAATGGCTGGAGGATTCAATGGTTCTCCAGCGTCAGTGCTTGGATGAACTCTCTGGCAAAGTCTCCCAAGTCTTAGCCAGAGAGGGGGAGATGACGTCCAATGCTGGTGAATCATCTGATGCTGCTCCTACAGCTTCTCAGGCCGTTGGTCCAGTATCAGCTACAACTGCAGTTGAGGCTGAGGCTCCTAGAGCTGAGGCAGTCACTGCTGTTGTAATCCCTACCACTAAAGCTGCTCTAGCTGAGGATGTAGATGCCATCCCTAGGGATGATGCCCATACCATCGCTGCTGCTGATAATGATGATGATGATGAAGATGAAGATGATGATGATGAAGACGATGATGAACCTGTCATTCTAGACACCGGAGATGATCTAGATGGTGACGACGACGATGATGATGAAGATGACTTTACCATCAAGTTCCAGAAACCATCAATAGTCACCAAAGGTGTTACTCTCGGGGATT